AATTTGATGTTAATTTCATACCCATTTAGAAGAAGATCGTCGTGCAAACCCATACGAGCGCTGGGAAGGGCGTTCTGGAGGTTCCGTCGGGAGAGGCTCTTCGCATCGGAAGCTTGGGAAGGCGAGTCTTTCGGAGGATACAGGGGTAGAACCATGGTGGTGGTGGTCCGTTGGTTGCTTTTTTGATTGCCTCCGTCATTCTGCGGCTGCTGTGGGAGGAGAAATCTGCGGTGGTGATTGTTAGTCGAACACCTATGACACCGGACGACGCCGTAATAGCTTATCAAAACAGCGAGGGAGAGGAGCAAAGCCCGGGCCATAATTTATCGGTTCCGGTATGGCTCGGGCGGCGGCGATAAATCTGTGATCCGACGCCGGCGAGGTCGTTGGCCGGAAGATTAGGAAAAAGGAAGAGGACTTTTAAGTTTCAGGCACGGCACTGCAGAAGGAAAACGACGAGAGAGAAGTGCATTGGGGGTGATACGGTGTCATACAAAGTCATACGTATGATAATCATAACTAAATTTGGCATTTTTACTCTTTTCTTTTTCTTGAGAAAAAATGCATATTGATATTAAAAAATGCATATACTATTTTTAGCATATTGATATTAAAAAATGTATATACTATTTTTAGTTATTTCCCGTGCTCTACCCCTACTCCCTTCAAATTAACAGCTACTCAACATCATAAGAGAGTTGACTACATTCAATATCTCACTCACTTGAGATTTCTAATGTCTCACTTCAACTATAATGATTACACTTTTATTTTTATTTACTTCTTAATATTAAAAAAACTTTTTCTTTTGCTCTATTTTTTTCTTTTTTTATTATAAAAAAACATAAAATTGTTTGATTTAAAAGGAAAAATATAAACGATTAATTTATTTTTAAAATATTCTGTAATAAAACATAGTTTGTTCAATTCAAAAATATATGACTAAATATATAAATGAGACATAATATCAAATTTATATATGTACCATTGGAGTTGTTGGGTAGATCTCGTGAAAATCTGTTCGGACAGTATATTATTTGTCAAATAATAACTTAAATACAAAAAGTTATGAACAAAACAAACGTTATATAAAAACTAAAAATCTAACTTTATATTTAGATTCTGACGTGAGCGTGACCACGCTACTCAATCACACCAAGGGGTGAGTTCGGTTTTGGCTGTTCGGTTTTCACTCAAAACCAAAGATAATATGGAAAGTAAGTTGGAGTTCAGTTTGGTTCGGTTCTGCATAAAAATATGTAAATCTTTGGTTGTTCGGTTCGGTTTTATGCGGTTTTTATTTTGGTTTTTTTATTTTTCAGTTTAAAAAAATAAAAATTTATAAGCATTATAAAATAGTAAAAATACTAACCCAATGAAGGAATAACAATATGTAGGTTTGGGTTCAGTTTTTTTTTAAATTTATACAAAACCAAAAATTGAACGGAAGGTTAGTGTTCAGTTTGGTTCAATTTTACAAAAAAAATATGTGTCTAGTGCCCAACAAAAATCTAAGGGATTCCAAATATTCCCAAAAACATCGTATGTAAATATACATAGAACTTTTTTTGGTATAATACTTTCATTTTCATTATAACACCAAAGCTTTTTATGTAAATATATAAATTACTCGTATCAATGTTTAATGTTAATATAATTCTCTATTAGGATTAGTTGTTGGTTTTATATATTCTTATGTTTTTTAAAGTTTATAATATGGTTTAAATGGTTAATTAATAGTTAAAAAATAACTTTAGTCGACTAGTCAACTATTTGCATTTATATTTTTTTGATTTTTTACATATCACATATACTCATCTAAATAAAGTGAAGTACTTAAGGAAGATCGGTTTATACGGTTCAGTTTGGTTTTCCAACGTGAGAACCAAAATGGAAATAAAATAAAAATCGTTTGGTTCGATTTTTTTACATTCAGTTTTGATTTTTTGGTTCGATTTTTTTCTAACTTTTTTTGATTGGTTTCAGTTTGGTTTGCAATTTTGGTTTTCCTAACTCATCCCAAATGTCACACCACACACTTATGCATGAGAGGGGGATATTCATGGTGATCACGTGTTGAGATGACAATGCCACGGAGGATCACCTCTTTTCTTCCGTGAGCCGCTACACTTAATCTTATAGCATTATTAACTTATTATTATAATATAGTATTTGTTGAAATATATATTTTAATATCCTTTAATATAATAAAATAAAGGAGACTCAGATGCATAGAAATTCAACATTTGACATATCTATGTGGCAAAATTTAAACATGTCAGCACACTACGTAATATTCGAGTAAATCAGCGGAAATAAATTATATACGATGCACCAGCGGATCTCCCGTTGAAAACAATTGACCGCAGATTTTCTATGCGATAATCACTGGCCTTCAACAAAATTCTTTCCTTTAGATTACAACAATACGAACTCCTGTTATGATGATAATATAAAATAACAAAAAATAAATATGAAAAAATATAAATACTATTTATAAAATAAATATAATATTTTTCATTTAATTTAAATAGAATTTTAGGACCATGCTACATAAATATTAATCCTTTATCTTACTCCCATATTTAAAAATTACATACTTAAATTAATAAGTTACAAAGGTTTATTGTGGAAATTCGTGTATAATAAGAGTTAAAATCAATAGAGTACCTATATTAATGGAAATTAGAATATTATTTTTTACAAAAAAGATTATTACGAAACAATCCTAAATAATACTAAATTTGAAAATGATGATCGTGAGTATATTATTTTGGATCCGTTTACTTATATATGGAAATCCTTAATTATGTGTCTTGTATAATAAATAATATTATATGTTAATATATGTTTTCAGATTACAACAATACAAACTCCAATTACGAGGATAATATACACAATTAAAAATAAATATGAAAAAATATAAATACTATTTAAAAATAAAAAAGAAATATAATAATTTTCATTTAACTTTAATAGAATTTTAGAACCATGTTACATATATTAATCTTTTATCTTACTTCCATATTTATAAATTTCATACTTAAATTAATAAGTAACAAAGATTTATATATTAATGGAAATTCGTGTATATATATATTGAAATCAATAGAGTACCTATACTAATAAAAATTCCAATACTATTTTTGATTCCTTACTTATTTGTCTCACTTCCATGGGTATATATTATTGATCATCTTACTTATATATGGTCATTAACAAAATCTACGGAAAATCTTATAAAGAAACAATCCTAAATAATACTAAATTTGTAAATTATGATTACAAGTATATTATTCATCACCTTACTTAATTATGTATCTTGGATAATCAATAATATTATATATAAATATATGTATTCAGATTACAACAATACAAACTCCAATTACAAAGATAATATAAAAAATTAAAAATAAACATGAATAAATATAAATACTATTTAAAAAATAAAAAAATATAATATTTTTAATTAATTTAATGGAATTTTAGGACCATGCTACATATATTAATCCTTTACGAGAGAATTCTCACCATAATAAAGTCCTTCCTAAAATACAAAAGGTAAGTAATTAATTAAATGTGAAACTCTCCTAATAGGGCCGTGCATTAGAAAATGATTCATACATAGCCATGAATGGTATGATATGATTTCCAAGAATAGATTATTTCCTTAACATATGGTGATTGACAAAATTTACGAAAAATATTATTAAGAAACAATCCTAAATAGTACGGAGTACTAAATTTGAAAATTATGATCACGAGTATATTATTCATCACCTTACTGATATTATGTATGTGGGATAATACTAATATTATTTTGGATCCTTTACTTATATGTCTAACTGGCAATGAGTTAAATTACACTTTTATATCCAAATTAATGGAAACTCTTATATACTTAGTTCAAAATCCTCTTATAAAAAGAGATATATAATGAGTTGAAATGTGACATCCACCACCCATTTTCATTTCGTGTTTCAATACATCGGCATTCAGAATCAATTATGCAATAAAGAAGCACAGAATCGTTAATTCAACTTCAGCCTTTTATTTTTAAAAAGATTGGTGGTAGGAGCATCTTATTTTTCAATTTCAATTGGGGCTATGGAAAATCAAGTGGACGATACATGGACGAGATCGGCTAGAGATACAAGAGAAATGAGAAAAGGAATATTTCAACAAAAAAGGACATAGAAAAGGTACGTACTTTAAATATTGTTTTATCTTAATATATTTAATTTTATTTTATTATTTTAAGGTAATTTGATACATAACATTTTTGAATTTCTTAAAATAAAACAAAATCAAAGGGGATATTTTAGTGACCAGAATTTTTGTATTTAAGATCTTATGGTTTCTTTTTAATGAGCGTTGAAAAATTTTCTTATCTTCATATCTAAATTGTTAGTATAGATAAATTAATTTATGTTAAATAAATAAAGTTTTATACAAAATTTAAAATTAGATGTCAATTTTAGAAGGATTTAACAAATTCTCTATGTAAAAATAAACACTCCAAGAAAAGATTACATAAAAATACGTGTACTTTTTAAATTATAGTCATATTATTTTATCAATTATAATCTGCATCCGTAAAAAATTATATGGAGACCAAAAGATTACGTAATCTCGATTGTGTAATAGTACAAGATTAATCGTTAAAGAGCCGCAAAAGAACGTTAACCATGCAATTAGGTTTCGGGAAATCAAGACGGGGAAAAGGTTTACATAGCTCGAATAAATTTGGTACTATATGATCTAGTACCCCTGAAATTTCAAAAAAGACAATTTCCAATAGTTTTATGTTTTGTTATGACTATTAACAAAAAGTAAGGTGAAACTGTCTTCTGTTAGATTATATAACTAAGTCAGTATTCATTTATGGTCAATTTTATGTTGTTGCTTCACGAGTGAAGACACATACATTATTAAAAATATTTATTTTAGATTACAATAAAAACTCATGCAACCATACTAAAAATGTTGTACACCCTAAAGTCTTTCAAAAAATTTGGATTTTAATAAGCCTTTGTTCTGTACACTTTCAATTCTTCAAATATTATTTTTTCTACTTTCACGTTGATGTTTATAGTATTAAAAATCGCGAAAGAAATTTATTTTCTTTAATCCGCAAAAAATATTACATTGAAAAAAATAAGAATAAAAAGAATTTGTTCGACCCCGTGCATGGCACAAGTCAAAATACTAGTGTTGAATAAGAAGTCAACCCCAATCTCCTCGGGATTTGAACATGTAACTTCCCATTTAGGAGAACCACAATGATATGGTTGGATCACATGATCTTTGATAATTACACATCAATATTTAGACTCGAGAAATTTAAATCTTTACTACTATGTAGAGTATAACATACTTCATAATATTTTAGCATTAACAACTCTATAAATAATTGTAATATCTATTCATGCATAGTGATTAGAATAACTTTTACCCGATCTGAATACCTGAAAAGTGATAGGTC